GCAGAAACCCTACAAGCCAAAAGAGCATGTGGGCCAATATTCAACATTCTTAAAGAAAAGAATTTTCAACCCAGAATTTGATGCAAAAATCTTCAACAAAATATTGGCAAACCAAATGCAACAGCACATCGAAAAGATTATCCAACACAATCAAGTAGGCTTCATCCCGGGGATGCAAGTCTGCTTCAACATATGCAAATCTATAAATGTAATCCATCACATAAACAGAACCAAAGAGAAAAGCCACATGATCATCTCAATAGATGCAGAGAAGACCTTTGACAAAATTCAACAGCGCTTTATCCTAAAAACTCTCAATAAACTAGGTATTGATGGAACATTTCCAAAAATAATAAAAGCTATTTACCACAAACCCACAGCCAGTATCATAAGGAATTGCCAAAAACCGAAAGCATTCTTTGAAAACTTGCACTAGACAAGGATGCCCTCTCTCATCATTTCTATTCAATGTAGTATTAGAAGTTCTAGCCAGAGCAATCAGGCAAGAAAAAGAAATAAGGGGTATTCATTTAGGAAAAGAGGAAGTCAAATTGTCTCCATTTGCAGATGACATGATTGTATATTTAAAGACCCCATCATCTCAGCCCAAAATCTTAAGATGATACACAACTTCAGCAAAGTCTCACGATACAAAATCAATGTGCAGAAATCACAAGGATTCCTGTACACCAATAACAGACAAACTGAGAGCCAAGTCATGAGGGAACTCCCATTCACAATTGCTACAAAGAGAATAAAATACCTAGGGATACAGCTAAATGAAGGATATAAAGGACCTTTTCAAGGAGAACTACAAACCACTGCTCAAGGAAATAAGAGAGGACACAAACAGATGGAAACACATTCCATGCTCATGGTTAGGAAGAATCAATATTGTGAAAATGGCCATAGTGACCAAAGTAATTTATAGATTCAACATTATCTCCATCAAGTTTCCACTGGCCTTCTTCACAGAACTGGAAAAAAACACTTGAAACTTCATATGGAATCAAAAGAGAGCCAGCATAGCCAACACCATCCTAAGCAAAAGGAACAAAGCTGGATGCATGTGCTACCTGACTGCAAAGTATATTACAAGGCTACAGTAATCAAAACAGCATGGCACTGGTACCAAAACAGAGATATAGACCAATGAAACAAAACAGAGGCCTCAGAAGTAATGCCACACATCTACAACCATCTGCTCTTTGACAAACCTGACAAAAACAAGCAATGGGGAAAGGATTCCCTGTTTAATAAATGGTGTTGGGAAAACTGGCTAGCCATGTGCAGAAAGCTGAAACTGGACCCCGTCCTTACAACTTACACTAAAATTAACTCCAGATGGACTAAAGATTTCAATGTAAGACCCAACAACATAAAAACTCTGGAAGAAATCCCAGGCAATACTATCAGGACATAAGCATAGGTAAGGTCTTCATGACTAAAACACCCAAAATAATGGCAACAAAAGCCAAAATAGTGAAATGGGATCTAATTAAACTTAAGAGTTTCTGCACAGCAAAAGAAACAATCATGAGAGTGAAAAAGCAACCAACAGAATGGAAAAACAATTTTGTAATCTATCCATCTGATAAAGGTCTAGTATCCAGAATCTACGAAGAACTAAAGCAGATTTACAAGAAAAAAACAAACAAACCCATTCAAAAGTGGGTGAAAGATATGAACAGACACTTTTCAGAAGAAGACATTTATGAGGCCAACAAACATATGAAGAGATGCTCATCATCACTGGCCATTAGAGAAGTGAAGATCAAAGCCACAGTGAGATATCATCTCATGCCAGTTAGAATGGCAATCATTAAAAAATCTGGAGACAACAGATGCTGGAGAGGATGTGGAGAAATAGGAACACTTTTACACTGCTTTTGGGAGTGTAAATTAGTTTGACCATTGTGGAAGATAGTGTGGTGATTCCTGAAGGATCTAGAAATAGAAATTCCATTTGACCCAGCAATCCCATTATTGGGTATATACCCAAAGGGGTATAAATCATTCTATTCTAAAGATA